GCTTCAAATTTTAATAACAAAAAAGTTAACATCTCAATGATCTTGGATTTTCTTAAAAATACCTCAGAACATAACAAAAGTATGTGCAGAGACCTGCTGCTATCGGGGACGGATCCAGGTTATTTCATGGACCAGGATCAGGATACAAACTCCGATTAACCCTATCCGCTTTTGCCACCAAGGACCTCCAATGTTAAACTGCAATCGTTTTTTCTTTCTCAACTAATTATGAATAATAAAACAAACTTAAAAATAATTCAGTGGAACATACGCAGTGTAAACTCAAACAAAGACAACCTGGTCAACTTGGTGACAGAAGAAAACCCAGATATCATTTTACTTAACGAAACATGGCTGAAAACTAACCAAAATTTTTCACTGAAAACTTACAACATAGTCAGACAAGATAGAGCAGATGGATATGGAGGAGTGGCAACCTGCATTAAAAACAATATAATTTTCACCACAAATAAAAAATTCACCTCAGACTCAATTCAATACATAAATACTAAAATAGGGGACCTATATATTTTCAATATATATAGCAAATCGAATACAGCAATTAGCCCTGAATTTCTGGAGTACTTAACCAATAATATACTGGACAAAAAAATAATAATAATGGGAGACCTTAACTCTCACCACCCACTGTGGGACGAAGTTTCTATAAATAAAGGTGGACAAAATATTAACGATTTTCTATTGAAAAATGATTTTATCGTTTTGAATGATGGCTCTAACACCTTGCTTCAAAGCACGAACAAAAAAACAAGTGCAGTCGATTTAACAATAGTTAGCAGTCAGCTGGCACTAAATTCAAAATGGAGTGTTATCAAGGACTATGGGAACAGCAACCACTTTCCAGTATCTTTAATATACGAAACATATAACAAGCAGTACTTTAAAGCCAATCTCATAAACACTTACTATATCAGAAACAGCAAAAAAGCCGATTGGGGTCAATACTATGAAAGCATTCTGAAACACCTACATACTAAAAATGATACTTTAAATTATGATGACCTAATGGACACAATTAACTCATGAAACCATTCCCTACAAAAGATATGGTAGCAATGGAAAGGTGGGGAACCCATGGTGGGATGAGGAATGCACCAACTGGATTCAGGAAAGGAAAGAGTGTATAGCCAATTTCAACAGAAACCCGAGCATGGAAAACTACATAGAAGTGAAGCGAGTTACTGCCTATACCTACTAGACTAAAAATGAAAACTAAAAAGAAAGAAAAATTCTTGGATTTTTGCCACACCTTGAACAGATCTTCCAGTATTTCTTATATATGGAATAAAATCAGGAAATTTTCTTATAACAATAATAACAAACCAAAAGATTTCATAACAAACGATAACATCAAAACAGCAATACTCAACAACATGGCCAAGATAGATATAGACCCATCATTTCAAATGCAACAACAAGACAGAGATAATAATATCAAACCGTTTAACATGTTGGAATTTAACAACGCCTTAATCAACAAAAAGCTATCAGCGGCCGGTATGGATGACATATCCTATGCTATGATTAAGCATCTACCCCCTACTGCTAAACAACATATCTGCTTAATTTATATAATGACATACTAACAGGAAAAACCCCTTTACCGGACTCCTGGAAAAAATTTAATGTTATTGCATTTCCAAAACCTAACAAAGACCCTACTATACCTCAGAACTACAGACCTATCGTGCTAGCGTCTTGTGGTTGTAAGATGCTGGAGATAATGATTCGTAACCGACTCGACTGGTACCTCGAACACCAGCAATTTTTCACTAATTTTCAGCTAGGGTTTAGAAAAGGCAAAGGGTTGGACGACAATGCAGCCTACCTATCATCTTTTATTTTCAATGGGTTCCTGTCATCTAATACTGTATTAGCAGTATTCAGATATAAAATCAGCATATGACAATGTCAATATCTATAAACTCTACAATAAGCTTCATGCTATTGACACCCCAATCGAAATAAACAATACTATACACAGAATTCTGAGCAATAGAACGCTTTACTCCAGAGGTGACGACGGCACGTTCTTGGATCCAGTCTTGACCACAACGGGCCTACCTCAGGGATCGCCAATGAGTACCCTTGTGTTCAACATATACGTGGGGGATATATACAAACTGAAACTGGGGAACGTCAAATTATTAGGGTATGCGGACGACTTGGTACTTCTGGTGAGTGGCAACAGCGTCAATCTTATGGTTGAGGAGATGCACAAGGCTCTGGAGGTCGTTAATGGATGGCTAAAAAACAATGACCTATCGCTATCCTTGGACAAATGTGAGGCGGTTCTCTTCTCCAAAGGTAGAAGAAAAAACACACCCCCAGATATCACAGTGGAGGGTAATAAAATAAATTATAAAGATTCGGCGAAATACCTGGGCATTTATTTTCACAAAAATCTTAAATGGGACATTCACATAGACAACATTGCCATTAAAGCAAGAAAAGCGCTTAATCTACTAAAAGCTATATGCAGGGTTTGGTGGGGAGCAGACCCTACTACCCTATTAATGATTTTTCAGGCCTTGGTAGTCTCCCACCGGGACTTTAGTTCTACACTTATAAGACCAGCTAGCCAATCCTCCTTAAATAAACTCAACATAGTGTTTTATGAGGGACTCCGTATATGCCTGGGATGCATATTGCTAAAATTATCTGCGTTAAAAATCACCCAATTATAAAAATTTTACTGGATAGTCGCAGCACTATTTTTAATAGAACAGGGTATGTAAACAACTCCAAAGTTACCTACATGATAGAACTACTGCAAGAATTCCTACCCTATTTCAAAAGAACATACAACTCAAACAATATTCCGTGCTATGAACTAGATTATGAAATCCTGATTAGTCCAATAAAAACAATAAACACCAAATTGAACAAAGGAGAAGAAATGATCAAAGAAAAATTCAAACTATTTATTGAAAGGTACATTCCACTATATACCCTAGTTTACACAGATGCCTCCAAAAAGAATGACCGAGTAGGGTTTGGTATTACAATACCACAACTGGAATATAAATTCGCATGTAGACTGCATGATGTGTTGAGTATATGCAAGGCAGAAATGATTGCTATCCATGAAGCAATTCAAACATTAATTAAAAAGAAAATAAAACAAGCTATAATATTTTCCGACTCAAAAAGCGCTATACAAAAAATTAACTCTAATCTTTACAACGCCAAAGCTGACTACTGGACCTTGAAAACCAAAATGTCTATAATAATAGCAAACAAGAATGAATATAACTTAAACCTAGCCTGGATACCCGGCCACGCAGGGATACCAGGCAATACAGAAGCAGATACCTTAGCCAATGTTGGCAGAATTTTAATAGTTCCCAAGGCTATGAAACTAGATGCAAAAGATATACAGAATACTGTTAAAACTGCTCAGAGAAAGCATTTCAATAACAAATGGCAAACTTGGGTTCAAAACAAAAAATACCAATACAACAAAATACAGGAGAGCTTTCCAAAGAAGAAATGGTTCAGTAGTATACCTTATGTAGACCGTAGACACCTCACAACTATTACAGGAATGCGCACGGGGCATTGTTTGACCGGGGAATTTAAATACAAAATTAAAATCAAAGACTCACCGCTTTGTGAATGTGGTCAAATTGAAAATTTAAACCATATATTTTTGAATGTCCAGTAAACATCATTCCAGATTTGGATTTATATGCAGAGTTTATTTTGTTGAATTTTTGTCCTCCTATTAGCATTCACTCAATATTGGCGAAACCAAACTATGACTCAATCATCCTATTGAACAGATTTCTTATTATTAACAAAATGAAATTATAATGATCATCCAGTATCCGATCCTTTACTTCCAGGTACCCTGATAAGTGTGTTGTCTTAAATGTGCTCATAACTTCCTGTGTTGTCCGTTTATACTAATACGCCCTGCAACCAGTAATGGAGAGAGCTAACTGCAAATACACACAAACATGGACCCAAATGTAATAAAGTTTGAATAATAGGTGATCACAATATGGTACATACCAGACGACAGTGGTCACCACCGAATTGAGCTGGCAGATTGCCTAGTAGCAAAGCCATAAGAAAGCAACAACAACAACCTACTCTGACCAGCCAACCTACGGAGTGACAAACAACAAAACCTTCAAGAAGGTTCATTGTTATTGGTCATTTATCAAACCGGTGTAGGTACACTGTAGAGTGACGTTTTGTAAGATTATGAAATAAATAAATGGCATAAATCAGTGTTCAGCACAGAACGTGTTCAGTGTAAATTTGGCCGCCAATCTGACTCTTTCATACTCCGTAGTGTAGTTACTAGATTTTTGACTTGTGGAATTATAAACTGGTCAACATTAAGTTCGGTCCATTCAATTTTTTGCCCTATTTATAAACAGCTGCAACTTTTTTGAAAATAAATATTTTTGAACGCGGTTTGCGGCATTCAAAAGCGCATCTCTTCTAGATTAGGCTGCATGTCACACATTTTTGGTGGGAAAGCTATTTTCATGATATACGGGGTGATAAGCAATGTCATGCAAAAAAGCAAAAATTTCGTGTGTGTGACACTTTGGCAAAAAATTTTTGCTTTTTTGCATGACATTGTTTATCACCCCGTATATCATGATAATAACTTTCTAACCAGAAATGTGTGACATGTAGCCTAATCTAGGAGAGAAACGCGCTTTTGAAAGCCGCAAACCGCGTTCAAAAATATTTATTTTTAAAAAAGTTGCAGCTGTTTAAAAATAGGGCACAAAATTGAATGGACCGAACTTAATGTTGACCAGTTTTTATGAATTATATTAATTTAAAAAAAAAGACTTTATTCATACAACTGATAGGCGCACTCGGACAAGGGTTTTGTCTCGCAAGCCTGCCGCGCGCGGCTGCTTCGCGAAATCGATACGCAGCTTAACAGTAGCAGCTCAGCCATGGCCACGTCCTGTTTTAAGATACAGTCTCCATGCAAAGAAAAAACTTACCACATTAAACTTATATGCTTTTCTGGCCCTGATCCTCCATTTACTCGAATAATAATGTTTTCCAGGTTGCCTCGATAGCCAATAACATAACAATTATTAAACTTTTATCTGGTAAATGCAATAATTGACAATATAACAGAAATGACTGACTCCTATGACGTAATGACGTACGACAGTTGATTGACGTAGGCGAGCTGCAAGGATAATACGCACTCCTTAGGATTGCTCATCGGCTTTATTTTTGGTAATCGCCATTTCCGACGTCATTAACAAGTCGTCAGCTGTTTACACTTACACTATTGAGGTCGTAGTTTAGAATTTAAATTTATGATGAAATTGAAAAATATTATTTAATTTTGATTTAGGTAACATAAGAGGCAAAGAGGAAGATGAAAACGAGATCTAAAAAAGAGTTGTTCTAGAATGGTAATTAATGTAGTAAAACCAAGTATGCATAAAGCAATAGGCCGCGAAATCATATATAGCCCGTAGTGCAAAACAGCCCAAGGTTCTTAAATTTAATAGGTTAAGTGACCATCCGTCCCGATTTAGGCGGGACAGTCCCGATTTCAAGCTACGAGTCCCGATTTAACAGGCGTTCTGCTTTTGTCCCGCTTTCAATAATTTCAAAAAACGAGACTTCTGAGAGCTTTGTGACTTTGTCCCGCTTTTGGACTTTCAAGATCTGGTCACTTTATTGATAGGTTGTCTGATAATGGGTAACTTGATGATGCATCTTGGGTGCCTTAAGCCTAGTACTCATAACAGCGTGAATCAAACGTCCAATTGTCGAAGCAATGTCAAAAAAGAGTGAATTTCGCGGTTATGAGTACTAGGCTTTATGGAGATTTGTATTATGTTGATTGTTGAGGCACCGTAGATGACGTCATCAAGTTATCAGGCAACCTACCTCTCTCAAACAACCTTGCAAACAGCCTAGGACATGCAGATTACGTCGCAACTGGTGATTTGGGGTTGGGGGGGAGATGAGGGATTTGTTATTTGTGAAGATAGGCTATCCTTTAGTAGTAGCGTGACAAGGATGTTACACACTACTACTACAGGATGGCCTATCCTCATAAGGCCTGTGTGTAACAAATCCCCCTTACCCCCCACGTCAAATTACCAGTTGTGATGTAGGCAGCATATTATTTCTCGCCTTGACGTAGGCTGTTTAAACAGCTGACGACTTAGTTATGACGTCGGAAATGGTAACACACCAATATGGCGGCGATTACCAAAAACGAGGTCGATAAGCAAGCAATCCTTGTAGGTGTGTATCATCCTTGGGCAAGCTGTTGTCAGAAGGTTTGTTCGACATCATTTTTGAGAACCGTTCTGAAATCTAGCGCATGCGCAAACTTTGCACCGTTCTCGAACGATTAGCATCGATTGGAATGATTGCACGACCGCAGAAATGTTGTTTATTCAACCTTTTCGTTTTATTATTTATTTTTAGTCATGTTTAGTGAGGGCCTGTTTAACTCTAATGCTAACAGCCCTTCCTTGTCTGCTAACCTTAAATTCTGTTTATATTCTTAAAGACTTTTAACTTGTTCATTATTTTTACTGATCGTTTAATAAAATCCTAAAATTTTAAACTCCAACCGACTATTCTCAAATATGACCACAGATTTGATTCAAAAATACATTGGGAAAAATAAAACCAAGCCCTTAATAAATACAGGTGATAGAAGTGTTTATTACAAATGTTAGTTCAAACAGCTCCTGCTCATTCTTTAGAACTGAAATTATCGTTTCGAAAGCGTTCTAGTAACAAAATTGGTTAAAATGCAAAAGAAATTTTTCTTAGAACGGTCAACGGTCGGTACTATCAAGGTAGGAACGTTTCTTTGTAGATGTTAAAATTCCTTACTTTCTGGGCCCTTATTCTCAAAGCAGGGGAGCAGCGTTCTCATGATAATGAAGGTTCTCTCTTAGTCGCGCATATTCATATTTACATAAGACTGACAAACAGAGCAATCGTTCTCGTGAGAACGCTGCTCCCCAGTTTCGAGAATAGACATCCTGTTGAATAGTTGGTCCGCGTTTTTGTTCACAGAATAGTGGGGTTTGTAAATACCAGTTTTTGTCACTCGTGTGAATTTTGGCATGAAACTGAGAAGGACTAAAGCTCTGTACTAATAGAAACGCTTTTTCATCGTGTCGAGAATTGGGCGCATATAGTCTGTGAGTTTGTCTTGTAACACTGAGCGCTCGCAGCCTCTTTTATCTTTTTTCCTTCTGGATGAGAAGAACAAGGATAAAAAAATATTAGAGCTGCTCCGAGCGTCTATCCGAACTTTACCAGTATGTTAAAAAGTCAGATCAAGGTTGCGCAAAGAAACGTGGACAAAAGTGACATTCCGGCAAACAATAGTGGTCAAAAAAGGTTGTCCAAAGGTTCCTTACTTGATGATAAACCTGGGGCGTGCTGTGAAATTTGAAGTGCAAGGTCATTGAGTGCAATGCAAAGCGAGTCGCAGTGGGCGCAGCGCTTACTACGCCTTGTCGACAAACAGCAGCGCGCGGCAAGCGGCTATTTTGTTATCGGGGCGGTCAAAATTGAAAATAAAAAATTATATGGGGATTATGGGATGATGGAACAAAAATTATAGCATTTAGCGTTTGTTCTATAGTATAGGGATTTCAATAAAATAATAGATATTTACGATACAAGTGAGTTAATAACAGCATACTTAAGATACGCATATGGATTAGTGTGGAAGTTGCACAACGAGTGCGTAGCACGAGTGTATTTCACTGACGTACCATCGTCACCAAAACTAGTCTTTTTTTTTTAAGATAAAAGTCAAAATGACATTATGTTGGCAATACATTGTAAAATTGTCAATGCTTTCAAATTTTTTATGTAGAAAAGGCTCGTGTTGCCAACATAGTTACTAAATTTTTGACTTGAAGAATGGAATGGGCCACTTTCACGTGTCGGGAATATAGCAAATTATGATATTTTTTGACACAGATACATCAATGCAACCGAGAATGAGCGATATTTTGCAAGATTTTAGTCAGATTATTTAATAAATTAATAAATAAAATTTAAAAATTTAAACAAAAAATCACGTGATTGAAAAGACCCTCTGATTGGCTAAAGCCGATTTTGACGTGCTTGTTGCCACATTTAGAAATGCGAAATTTAAATGAGAATATAACGAATATAACTATCCTTTATTTTTTTTATAATGTAGTAAAGCACGAAAATAGTTTCTAGCTAGTAAAATGTGTAATGATTTACTAATGAGAAATTTGGCATCCTCGCATTTATGTGGATTTTCTGGTTTGTGACGTCACAAACCAGTTTCGCGCTTTCAGGTCAGTTCAAAAATTGGATTTTTAAATATTTTTTTTTCAAAAATAAGCGTTTTTTTTTCGGAAAAAAGTATACAGATAGTATTAGAATGACTAAAAGAATAATTTAAATATGTTTTTGAAAATTGTGAAAGTAGCCCATTGTTTTTAAAAACAAAAAACAGGTTTTAACTGGGACAGCATCGTATTAGCTGTTGTACTATTATAACATGATTTTTAGCGTCAGATATTTGTCAACCTATGAATTGAATGAAACCTTAGGGTGAGTTCGGCTTTACACTCTGTAAACTCTGAGCGTGCTAGAAACGATAAGATCCTGTTCGTTTCAGCTCTGAGTGTTCTTTTTTGCGTTGGGTATATGATCGCGTATGACGTCACAGTCACGATATCCATGCTCATACCGTTCCGCTCCGTGGAGTACAAGGCCAAACTCAGCCTTAGAGAAGTATTTTGGCCAGTTTTGCCAGAGTTTTTCGACGACATTCCTTCAACTAACTGACTAAAACCCTTCATATCCTTCAAAACAGCGACGGGTGGCTGGCACAACGAAATAATTTACCAAAAAAAAAACACTTACATGAACGAAATTCTTTTAATAAAAAAAAAAAAATCGAATTTGTTGGTAAAATGATTGGAATATTTAGTAAATATACAATTCGCCTCAACATCTTTCAATTTCGGATGAAAACCTTCAATTTTTCAGTAGTCAAAATTTTAGATCAAAACCCTTCATATTGAAGGAAGTTCTTCAATTCTGACAACACTGATTTTGAGATAGGACGCCGATGGTCGGAAGTGCGTCGTTTTCAAAATACAGGGTGTTGAAATTTTACAAAAAAATCGTATTAGAAACGCTTTTACAGATTTTAATGAAATTTTCAGGATTTAATAATAGATATTGCAGTAGAAAAACAGGCTAAAACTTAAAATTTAGAGCTTTCTAAAAGTTATGAATTTCATTATTTTTCACCCGAAAACGGTGCGTCAGAGAGCAAAACCTTAAGGGTCCTTTTTTGTTGAAATTGAATGAATATTTTTATAAAAATTCTACTACCGTGCGTAAAGTATTAATTTTACGCACTATTCAGAAGACGTAAAATTTCACTTCACGCACTACTTAGTGCGTAAAGTAATGTAAATGACAAATGTCGATACTGTCAATTTAGTATACTTTTCTGGTAAACTACTTCACGCACTAGTGCGTAAAGTGAAAATACCTTACGCACTAGTGCGTGAAGTATTTTTCTAAATTTATTTTTTTACACATATTTTTTTGTTAGTAGAAATTTTTTATATGCAATACGTGTGTAAAACACCTTTTTTCACTCATGTGATGTCGCACTCACCTTCGGCTTATGCGTCAAAATTCACATTCGTGAAAAAAGGTGTCGTTCCATTTAAATTAAGCAAGAAATGTAACATTTTTTGGTATATTTTCTAAAACCGACTTTCCATTTTTTTTATGATAAATGCTCCTAATTCCTCATAAAAATCTCAACAATTTTTATATTCAATTTTTTTTTTTATCCCTTCAATTACCACGTATATAATGTAAAAAGCACTTCGCTGGATAACCCTGTACGACCCTGTACATATAGATTAGGCTTACTCTCATCCGTGAAAATACACCTACTCAGATAAACAAAGTAGTCAATAATAGTTATTTACATTACAAGTGCGTTTATGAGCATGATTACAATAACGAGTGTGAAGGATTAGAACGACGAGGTCGTAGACCGAGTCATTCTAATTAGACGAGTTTTGTAGTCATGTTTAAACGCACGTGTGATGTACAACGTTTTATCTACAAAGCGAAAAATAAGAATATTTTTCCAATTATTTTCGTTCAATAATAGTTGTCTACCTTCATTTTACCTTTACAGGTTTACCTTTGACATTTGTCAAATCACCAAAAATAGTTGTGTTATAGACGCGTAACCTCGTCCATAACACCACTAGTTGTGTTATGAATTCATAACCTAGTCTATAACACCACTAGTTGTGTTATGAGTCTCATGACGTAACTCAATTACTAGAAAAATGGTTATGTAAAAACGTCATAACCAAACGCTTGTAGATAAAATTAAAAAAACTTGTAATAGGTATGTATAATAAAAATTCACTCATTTTTTAGGGTTTACATCTGTGGTATACGAGATTTGAAACAAAATCGCGGCAATAACTTTCGTTCCTTCAATATAATTACGATAAGTAATGTTTTCGTTGCACTTGCCCGGGCGCGAAACGGAACGTGATAGTGGAACCATCACGATGGGCTTCTCCAAAGTTCTATCCATAACTGTAAGTGCCTCCGTGACAGTGCTCCTCCGAATCATATTTGGCACTTCTTTGTAAATTTGGGTCAGAGCCCTTTTGACAGCAATAAAACAAGGGCGTCGAAAGTTCTCGATCCAATACCGTTTGACGTCCATGACCTCGCAACGCACCTCATTTTGTATCTTCAAGTCCTTTACCACATTTTGTATGTGATTTTCAATTGCCTGTATTAATTTATCCATGTCTTGTTTTGGTACCACTTTGGCAGTGATAACTTTTTTAATTTTCGAAGAATCTCTTTTCTCGCAAATACATTCGAGATTTTCATGGAGGTATAGAGACGAGTGTCTCCAGAGGTCCATTAAAAGTCTGACTTGGTCCCAGGATTGTTTACTCTCTGGTAGTGATTTCCTGCAACAGATGAAAACTTTGTCAGTAGATATGGTTATTATGAATATTATTATAGGTAGGCAAACCTTCGAGTTTCTATATCAAACTCCTGAAGTTCTTCATAAATATTCTCCTCGTCCGGGGTTAAATCTTCCACAAGATCATCAAATCCTTTGATTAGGACGTTATCATCCGCATCTACAAGAGTGTTTGCGATTTTTTCCATGTCCTCTTTTATGTCGGTTTCTGATTTTTCGATTTTAGTAATGGAAATTTCAAGATTAATTGCTCCTAAGATCAAAATTTAATTATATAAATCAAATAGCAATAGCAATAATAGAGTTATAGACCGTAGGCCCACTGCTACCAATTGATATTTATGAATTAAAATCCATCGGAAAAAGATCGGTAGGTATACGGTGTACAGTCTAGTGCATATAAAAGTGGTACAATATTAGAATGAGATAGAACCGTCATCTTTGATAGTGTATCACAAAACTTACCTCTCATTCTAATTTTGTACTTATTTTATATGCACACACGACACACGCGACTTTACGAGGGATTTAAGGATCGGCCCTATCATTCAAAAATGGGGAATTTCAAGGGCGAACGCCGTTATACTATCGTAGTACTTTTTGGGATTGGGCCTGAGAAGCTATCGCTTCTCAAATGCTTTCGACCTCTTCCCTACTATTTTCCATTCCAACGTTCTCGACTGTAGAGCTTCCGTTCACGTCCCTTCTACTCTAATAACTTGAAGTAGAAGGGAACCTTATGTAGATGAAAATACCCTACCAGTCCTTTGTAATATAACCAGCGCATGTATGTATATTGGTCTGAATAGATACCTACATTATCAATAATTCTCACTCTCACCTGCACATCCATAAACCAAACATGGATATTTCATGCCAATCCATTCAGATTCGCAGATTATGACACAGTAAATGCGACAGAAAAAATCCTGTTTTCGTTTCTGCAATAATTCGGATAAGCCTATACTATTTTCGTGGTGCATAAACTCTATGATAAATTTAATGTTCACTGGCAAAGGCATCTGTATTTTTTGAAAAGCTTCGATAACGTGAAACCACATGAGGGCATAACCTGAAGCAACAATTCAGATTTCAGCTTTACTCGAGAATTTTACCTGTTGTTTACCTTTGCCACAAGCAACTCCATTTCCATAATATCCATTTTCCACTAGAGTTAACTCAAAGGGGTTTGTTTTCCACTGTTCCATATCTGGATCAGGAACATCCATATGCAAATAGGCACAAATCTGAGAAAATTATAGAAAAAAACAGTTAAATACGCTCTACCCTGACAGAATATTGAACCATTCAGTACATACCGTTTTATAACTGGAGTCTTGCTCCAAAGACGCCAATATAATCGAGGGCACCCTCACCGTTTCTCCCTCCAAGTTGTAGGTGCCAATGTCAAAACATTCATATTTCATCCTCAGCCTTTTAAGCCATGTTTCCGTATAAAGAACCATCTTCTGAACATCTCGTTGATATTTCAATCTACCGCTAACAGATTTTATTTGAATGATGTCTGCCAACTTGTCGAGGAATTGATTTCTATGAGAATCGATGTAATTCAAAATTTTCAGAAGGTCCTTTTGTATGCCAATTTTCTTGCTTTGTTTCTTTGCATAATAGTCGCCGTAAACTCCATTGGTAGTATTTGTTTCACTGTGCTCTGCCCGGTAAAGATGCGGAAATACCATTTTAATATTTAAAAAGTCCTTTAGATTGCAATTATTGATAATATGTATTAAAATGTCATAATGACAATTCTTATAACTAATACCTGGATTACTAATTGGGCATCTAATTATAGGTGTTTATTAACCCAGGTAAATAGTGGGAGAAATGATTCTTTCCAAAAAAGGTCATCCAATAGTCAAGCTACATTTACCGTAAAGGCTGGTAATACAATTAATAACATAGGCGATGAAAATTAATTCAGCGAATTAAATGATGGTAGAGGAATATTCCTGATATTCCTCACTCTGACGTCTTGGTTGCTCGACTCCCAAGCAGCATGGATTACTCCACGGAGAAAATCCTTATTCACGTTCAAGGCCAAAAAGCTAAACGTTGAAAACTAGCGAGTCATCCGACGTAACGCCGACGGCCACCTGGTCACATTAACCCTTTATGTGGACAGTGCATCCGCAGAAAAACTTAAATGCGGAGGCTACATGGTCAGTTACAAGTTCGGCCATACGACTATAAAGCCACAAAACAGCCGGTACACAACAGTTGCTGAGCAGCCAAGCTCGTCAAAGACAAGCGGCGCCGAACCAATGGCAGGCACGTCTAAGGACTCGGTGTGTCACGAAGACGAAATGCCAGGCAGGGTCCGAAAAGTGAGTGCAACTTCAATGGCTTCCCCCAAACAACCAAAGAGAAGCAACCCACCAAGCATTGAATGTATCCAAATAAATCTCCACTATTCAAAAGCTGTCACCAGTGAGCTTAGAAGAATTTTTGGACAAAAAATCAATGTAGGGCTACTTTAAGAGCCCTTGGTCAGTGGAGGCTCTATAAAAGGCCTAAATATTGAATTATGTGAGATAATCTACAACATTAACCATGAAATATCAAGAGCAGTATTGCTGCTCGACAAAAATTTGTAATTCTTACCTGTTCCAGAGTTCATCACTCAAGACTTGGCAGCTGCTCTGGTAGAAGTGCCAACGGAGGGGGGCTCAAGGCATATTCTCATAGCCTCAGCCTACTTTCCAGGTGATGACAACTCAGCACCGCCAGAGATCGTTCAGCGACTCATCACGTGGTGCAAAGTGAGAAACAGACATTACATTATCGGGGCAGACGCCAACGCCAAACACCAAGTGGGATGAGGAAGCACCAAAACAAACTTGAGGGGTGAGTATATTTTTGAATATTTGAAGTGTAACAACATAGACATTATCAACAAGGGTAACAAACCCACTTTCATCAACGCCATCAGACAAGAGGTCTTAGACGTGACTCTAGCTAATACATTCACCTCCAACACAATATCCAACTAGTTTGTGTCAAACGAAATATAAGGAATCACATCCTGAAGTTAGGAATCGTTCTTAGGAAACACCCTGTATATTTTTCTATTTTCTGACCTCCCTGTACATAGTATTTCAAGTTTTAATAGATTAATATCATTTCTTCAAGAAGCAGAAACTTTCATGAAGAATAACTTTTTTCCCATAGTTTCCCATATGCTGCGAACTCAAGTGGACACACTGTATATACAGGGTGTTTCACGAACATCGAAACAAAGGCGTTATAAGGGATTTCAAGGTCAATTAAAAAAACTGCTCGGACACGTCATTTTTGTATTCAAGGGGGAAACTTTTAGACCCCATCGGTATTTCGCTAGGATGCACCTCCTGGGTGGAGTGACTTTCACCCACTGATCTAAAAAATAATTGGATAAACAACCGTACGGCTCGATTGGCTAAACTTGTGCAAAAATTTGGGGTCCATATTCTATGAACAGTTGTGCAACGGAACAGCCTAACGCCTGCGCAGTGTCTTATTTTTCGAACAAGTGTTCTAAATTTTGAAATTCCTTCGTTTTCTTTGGCCAGATTTTGTGCACGCACATTACATGTATCTACTGCGCACGTTCATAGCTGTCCCAGTTAGGTGTTTTTGTTTACTCTATGACCTCGTAAATTAGCAGCATTAGAAGCGTTCTTTGTTTATCCATTTATTTTTGAGATCAGTGCTTTCACCCCTCTTGTTTAAGATCGGGGAGATGGGTCGTGGTACCTTGTTTTAAAGGTATTTTGATTCTCGTCACAAGTGCGTATTTTTTTTGAAAATCAAATGATTAATTCCCAAGATATTCACTGTCAAAGTTTCCAAGGGCTCAATAAGAAACAATCTTCTCCCTGTTATTCTCAAATAAACACTATCCTGACTTTTGTCTCGGACACGTCAATTTTCAATTTTTGTCTGCTTCTGAAAAAATGAAAATTGCCGTGTCGGAGAGGAAAGTCAGACAGTATTTTTGACCGGTTGACAGGTCGCAAAACTCAATATTCTGGTATTTTAATTATGTTTCAATAGTCACAAAATCAATAAATAACAATACGGAAATCACTTTTCCGGCCTAGGCCAAGAAAGTGATTCTCATACTGCTGAATAATTGGAACAAAAAGACAAACATTTAACCAATATTTAAGGATCGCAGAAAAAATAGTATGTGTATTTCGGTGGAAAAGCACATTCTCGGCCTTCGGTGTTTGCCAGACTCGGCTACGCCTCGCCCGTCAACTTACACCGTCGGCCGAGAATGTGCCACTTTTCCACCTAAATACACAATATAATATTGTACAACCCAATTCCCGTACAAGCGTTCAATAAAGCCGATGTTGAAATCTATAATATTTCTATAGAAATTTTTTGACAGTTCTAACAGCAAGTTGAATTTTTTTATTTATTGTCATGTAACACAAATCACCCAATCATGTCAAAATTATACTGAAAACAGCCCATGGGTTGTTTTTACTCTATATGACAATTGTCTCGGACATTGTTGTCAAAAAAAATTTCTATCCGAATAGCCCTTGAACATTGATAAATGCTCAAAATTTTTCTAACAACTTTCTCAAGCTTGTTGCTTATAGAAAACAGACCTCCGCTAGCGTGTCGGTCTGTTTTCAAGCAACAAGCTTTCGAAATCTGTTATAATTTTTTTTTCGGTCAATTATCAATGTCCTTGGGCTATTACTACTGAAAACACAGCTAATGAATTCCCTAATAGAATCGATATTGTCGATATCATTCGAACCCAACACATGAACGAAGAAGAAAAGTTTCACATAGAAAAATTATGCCAAAAATATTCGGACATATTCCATCTCGAAAATCAACCTTTGACTTTCACTAACCAAGTAAAACATAGGATAAAAACTACTGACGAGCTTCCGGTCTATACCAAATCGTATCGATATCCGTTTATACACAAACCCGAAGTAGAAAAACAGATCGGTGACGTGCTGCAACAAAATATCATTAAACACAGCGATTCTCCGTGGTTCTCATCAATCTGGATCGTACCCAAAATACCGGACGCCTCGGGTAAGAGGAAATGGCGTATCGTAGTGGATTACCGGAACGTTAACGCCAAAACAATCGACGACCGTTATCCGACACCTAACATAACGGACATACTCGACAAATTAGGCCGTTGTCAATGCTTTTCTACCCTAGACCTCGCGAGCGGATTTCATCAAATAGAGATGCATCCCGACGACATAAAAAAGACCGCATTTAATGTTGAGAATGGGCACTACGAATATGTAAGAATGCCCTTCGGTCTCAAAAACGCCCCTGCCACGTTCCAAAGGGTTTCGTATACATGGACGATATTATTCTCTACTCGACCTCCTTACAAGAACACATGACAAACCTAAAATCAATCTTTCAACGACTACGCGAAAGTCATCTAAATATCCAACCCGATAAATCGGAATTCCTAAGAAAGGAACTGGCTTTCCTAGGCCACATCGTGACAACAGAATGCATAAAACCAAATCCTGAAAAAATCAAGGCGATACTTAAATACCCGATCCCAAAAGAAATCAGGGATTTCTCGGTCTTCTTGGCTACTTTCGTAAATTCATTCCGAATTTCGCCAAAATAACAAAACCGTTTACTAATTGACTCAAAATGCACGCGACCATTAATGTAAATTATCCCACCCACGTAAAAACATTCGAAGACTGTAAAGTATTATTAACTAACGAGCCGCTGTTGCAATATCCCGACTTCTCAAAAGAATTTAACTTAACTACAGATGCAAGCAACTTTGCCATAGGTTGTGGACTATCAAAAGGTCCGATCGGACAAGATAAACCAATAGCTTACGCATCTAGAACATTAAATTCTGCCGAGCAAAATTATTCAGTAATTGAAAAAGAGCTCTTGAGTATTTTCTGTGGAACGCGCTATTTTAGACCATATTTATTTCAGAGAAAATTCACAATCGTCACTGACCATCGCCCACTCCAATGGCTAATGAACTTAAAAGAACAAAATTCAGGTTCACGCTTAGTTCGATGGCGTCTGAAACTCGAGGAATTCGACTATCAGATAATTTATAAAAAAGGGAAAAACAATACAAATGCTGACGCGCTATCAAGAGTCGAGATAAACGCAAATGAAGTGAATGATACTTCGTTAACAACACCTGAAAATAACAACAACAGCTCTGATTCAAATTTACCGCCTGTTTTGCAATATATGCAAGAATACAACAATAACCCCGTTCTAGACAACCAGCTTCCGAGCACAAGTCACGGACCCAATGATCAAATTATAACAGCTTTTGAAAATAATGAAAACAATTCCGATGTTGCGACCGACAACCAGTCAATTACTGGCCAAGCTGACCCTGACGAACTTAATGATAATGACACAGTACATACCGATTCTGAAAACCCCATTTTATCTATTCACATTAGTGAAAAACCAAAAAATAATTTTATGTGTCAAATAGTCATTATAAAAATCGAAAATAACCCCCGAATTGAAATAAAGAAAATTTTCCAAAATCCTGTAAATAGAACCCGATGGTATATTTACGTAACAAACGATTCTTTCTTTCTTTTTCAAAATGACGAAGACGAAAGCTGCTTAGACAAATGTGTAAGTTCATATCGCAAACATTTAAATATGCACCTTACAAGTGTCTGAAATCTAATAAAATGTTTTTTGATGTAACTAAAGAAGATAGGCAGAAAAATCTCATTAAAAGCCAACATGAAGGTATCACCAATCATAGAGGTATTCACGCAACGATTGACCAACTACGCCTAATATATTATTGTCTGTTATGTCTGTCAACAAGTGAAATATGAACGGCACCCACCATTAATAAAATTGCAATTAACACCCACGCCTAAAAAACCATTTGAGTCCATTCATGTGGATACTTTCAAATTTGAAAAAAACTGTTGCATTAACAAATTTGTGATAGTTTTTCGAAATTTGGACAAGCCTATGTCCTACCAAGCTTATCTGCCGTACATGTGTATCAATCTCTCTTACAGTTTGTCTCAAATTACAGAATCCCAAAAAACATCGTATCTGATAATGGTACCGAATTCAACCAAAATTTTCTTAAAGAATTCGCCAAACTTTATGAAATCAATTGGCATTACACCTTGCCCTTAAACCCGAATAGCAACTCTATTGTTGAAAGATTTCACTCTACATTATTAGAGCATATGCGGACTCTAGTTTTGTCCAAACCAAACCTAAGTTAGATTAGTCTTTTGTTTGTATATTATCATAGGCTAAGCTGATTCCTATCATAAGATCATTTTTTGTATTTTCTTGAAACCAATAAAGCTTATTGAAACTAAAAAAAAATATGCCCCATTCCATTACAAAATAGAAACGCTTAAATAGGTAGTCTCTATATTTTCTACAAAGATTAATTATTTGCTAGTCATAACAAACGTAGTAAACTACCAAGCCAATTTACTATTATGATAATACATTAATCTGCCTTTTAGCAGGACATCCATACATCATACAATCTGAAACGTGCATGTATTCTAGAGTGTTAGGGCTAATAAAGCGTACATTAAGCACGAGCTAACACTCTAACTCTCCAAATAGGGGACCTACTAGCACGCAGAGGCTTTCTAGTGTAAAAATTGCATGCACTTCACATTATTACATCGTTTTGGTTTATTCAATCAGAATTATTTGAAACCTTTAATAAACAGTCTAAATTCAGTTTTTTGAATAGAGGTAAATTTGATAAAAAGTCTTTGAATCAAAATCACAAGACGTATTTTAGCTATGAATTATCATTATTTTATCCTTCGATTCGGGTCAAATTTATATTAAATAGTCCGATGTGTGCAATTGCGATGATACTGGACCAAGACATGAAAATTTGCTAACTTGTATCAGTTCCTGAGTAGTTTTGTGTTTTGTTGTCGCATAACTGCATTGGACAGAATCACAAATTAGAACTATCCCGCCAACGAGCTGAAAGAGATGTGTTCAGCCGGCTATAGATACTACTGGACTCTCCAACAGATACAAACGAGGCTATGCCCTCTTTACTTCCAATTCATGATGCTCTAATAATGAAATAGGTAATCATTTGGAAGTGAATTTATATTTATGGTAACTGTAACAAATTTATTTTTACAATACTTACCCTAATTATTTTAATAATTGATTTTTATCACAGCTCGTCACTCATCATTTTAGCAAAAAAAAATAATTAAATAATAATTTCTATGAATCTGCAGAAATGATTTTATTCGACAATTGACTTTTTGATCCCCAGACTATATGTATGAACCAAGGTAATGGTAGTTCAAATTATTTTTCAATAGTAGATATACATAAAATAATATCTACTAAATCGATGTTAGTTTCAGTCATACTTAAAAAAAAAGTAAATGGTAGGTATGTATTGAGATAAATACATATTTAGAGAAGAAAAAAATGAGTGACTGACATTTTCTTGACGCTTATGTTCCATGTCAGCTAATTTGAGGTCAAGCAGTCATAATAATTATTAAAGTGATGTTTATTACGACATGAAAAATATTAGCGGATTATTATAAAACTAAAAATATCTGCCTACATATTGATTTCCAAGCCTCCAAGGACATTATCGAACCAGGCAACACTATTTTCAAATTCAATACTCTCATCCACGAGATGCTTGTTCCTTGTGCCTACTGGATTCCATCGGTGTCATTGTTGTCATCGTCCATGTTGTTCTCGTTATTATCATTGACATCATTGACATCATTGACATCATTGACATCATTGACATCATTGACATCATTGACATCATTGATATTGTTAATTACATCATCATTATCGTGCAAGTCATTGTCGTTAACGATTGGGCGATTCTCAACGTTTTGAGGCAGGACATTGGGTAATACTAGCGGTGGTAGCGCAGCAGCCATGTTTGCATTATTTAGATGTTGAAGTAGATTAAGATGCTGCACATTAAGATTAACGACATCATTATTGTTATCTTGGGCCTAAAAAGAACATTTCATTAGGTCTGATGTTGCTAGCAGATTGAATTCGTACAAGAAAGTTCAGGATAAAATGTTATAAGCTGCTGTGTTGCAAGATTCGAACAATCTCTCCCAAAGAATTCCAATAAGCAATCTTTATTATTTTAATACGGCTAAAACTTTGATATTCTACAGAACTATCGATTCCTTGAGGGCTTATACCTTCGACCAGAAAATGTATAAAGGGGTATTGAAGCTGTGGTAAGTTGGAATCGCAAACGCTTCGTCAAATAACCCTATTTTAAGTAAACACCAGATTTGAATGGATGCAATGACAACGCTGTTCTTCATCATGCCCTCAAGGCTTTTATCGATACGCAAATATACAGACGAGCCTAAGTAATTGCTGGCTTTTGACTATAGAGGAAGGGAGGAAGACTAATAGGGTCGTTACCTCCTATCATTAAAATTATACTGACCATTATTTTTCGATATAGTGAGGCCTAAAACTTAGCCATGTCATATTGGTTGCATTGAAAATTGTTTCCTGGTTTATTTAAATTAATTTAAAATTTAAATATTTTTTGTCCTTGTCGAATTGTTGGTCTCTTTCTCCCATGACGTCACTAGGCGGGCATGCGCAAAGCATATGCAATTTTGTGAGGTTATGTTGTTTTGTTATTATTTTGGTTTGTCGTTGACCGTTGTTATATTTTCATTATTTTTTGAGTTTTTCAACGGTTTTTCCAAGGTTTCAAGAAAAATATTTAAAAGAAACGTGTAATAAATTCAAGGTAAGTCATTGTTTCTCATTATTTGATGTTAAGGACTCAAATAGAGCATGCATTTCAGTTTCAGTGTACCCACCTAAGGCCTACCTACTGTTCACTGTTTGGCTATGGATTTTCGTAAATGTTTTGTGCCTTCTTGTAAAAACAGTAATCTAAATTCGAAGAAAATCCCAAACCCCAAAAATGAACAAATAAGAAGAAGTTGGTGTTTAGCTGTGGAAAGAGTTAATATATTGTCTAGTATTTCTGGTGGAATTTATTGCTGCGAAGATCATTTCAATGTAAGTAAACTTAGTTGCCAAATTTCATTTTATAAACACCTATTTTCTGTCATTATTTCAAAAATATGAACATTATATTATGTTTATAGATGGAACAAGATTGTGATAACTGGATGCAGTTTAGGATGACAAACTGTAAATTACGTATGAAGAAAAATGTGGTTTCACATATCAATTTAGGCAGAATCAGAGTTTGTCGAGAAGCTGAATAAAAGAATTGCCAGCTACCGAATCCATATTGAAAGAGTGATACAAAGATTGTGAGAATTTGCAATACTCGAAGGACATTCCTGCATTGACCATCAGCTTGTAGCAAAAACTGATTATTTAATAATTATTGCTTGTGGAATAGTGAATTTTCAGGGACCATTAATCAAATAAATTTTATGTCAAAGCTAGAAAAAAATGCTTTTTTGAATATATTGTATAAAAAAAAAACTATTTTTTTTTTACAGCCAAAATAGTACTTTATACACCTAGGGACCAAAGTGGTACTTTTAATCCCAAAGGGAGGGCTATAATTTGTTGAGGGATTAAAAAACACTTTAGTTCTGAGGTGTATAAACTATTTTATGCACTTTAGGGATTAAAAATTAAAAGGGTACTTTTGATCCCTTTAAAGTACATAAAATAGTGTATGCATCTCAGGACTAAAGTGTTTTTTATTCCCTCGGCTCGGAGTACCCTTTTATTCCCTGTTCCATTTACTCCATGGGAAATAAAGTAAAAAGTTAATCCCTTGGGAAATAAAGTGAAATTTAACCTTGGGGATTAAAAGGGTACTTTTAATGCATAAATAATGTAAAGAAGAAAACTACCAGACTCCCAAATCAATCATATATTTTTATTCAAAATGACTGAAAATACATTTTTCTTCCAAAATTCTTCAGCTGATTCAATATTTACTTTGAGAAACCTAATGTTTAAGTATAATTCAAACATTGTCATTTCATTATCCTCTCCAAATTTGCGACTTGCCACACAAAACAGTCCTTTTTGTCTGTTACACAATAACAATTGTAACTGAAGTTGGCACATGTATTTCGTTATTATATTTTCATTTTTCTTAATGTAGTTTTTCACAGTCTCCTGCTTGCTAGGAGATTCAACTTCAATCACAAATTCTTTGCTTATTCCATCTGGCAATGCTCCTAACAGAGGATATTCTGCTGTCTCTTTTCAACTGCACACACCCAATAGCATCGTCACCCACAATAACTGTCTCTCGCTGACCTAAACATATATGAAACTATAAAACTGTTACCCTGCTACTAAAAATGTAATATAATATTGAGCCAAAGCTAAACCAATACAATAATTATGCCAATATTTCACTACCCACCTTTCTGTTTGTATTTTTGGCAAAAAACTCTTGCAGCATCACATAATTTAGTTAAGGTAAATTTTCGCTGGAGGCTTTAATAAATCCACTATCCATCTTCTCACATAAACCAAACAAATAAACGGGTGAAATATGTATTTATTTTTTATTTTATAAATCAACCAGACTAGACAGGCGAATCAAAATAAACAAAATAACTGACATAACCTCTAAAAGAAGACGGACATATGCCAGTCGCAGGGTAGCCAACTAGCAAATTCTGTCAGTGATGCAAACTTAAATTTAGAAATACAGGGCGCAAGCGCGCCTTGTGACGTCAAACCATTTTAAAAAATAACGGAAAATAGTAAAATTTCAAATTGAAATATCTCCTTTTATATCATTCTAAAAAATGCGGGAAAAAACCAAGAATAGTTTTTGATGTGCTTATGGCCGTTTCCACCAACGCAAATTTAAGTTTACTTAACGTTAAGTGCCGCTTACATTATAATTTCTTTTCCACCAGTCTCACCTAGTCTCATTAAGATAAGCTTAACTAAGCCCAGAAATTTCTAGGCTTATTCCTCCCTTAACAAAGTGGCGATGATCAGCGCAAGCCATTTGCATAATATGTTTTTGTTGACATAACAAACGTTGAAATTGAATTGAGATAAAATTAAATTTTTCTCAATTTTCTAATTTCTGGTGTAGTTCGCGGTTTTTTTTTTATCTCCGAAAGCCTATTTTTTTCGGCCAGAGATACTCCGTGATGTTAACGATATTATCAGCTCTTTTTCCTCTATTCAGTGGCGTATTTACCATAAGGCCATAGGGCATGGCCTGGGGCGGTAGGGCTGCCAGGAGCGGCACAAGCCGCGTCCCCAACACTTAGGAATGCTATTTTAACAGCAAAGCAACAAAATGACTTTGAGGCAACTCAACATATTATTATTTAATAAGGAAAAGAATTTGAAGGAAGCATTTTCTCATTCAGAAATAGTATTAGGTACGTATGATTCTATGCACTGCAGTAAACTTTGACTTCCAGTGTTTCTTTTTTTGTTAAAATGTTTTTTCATTATTTGATTTATTTGGTTAAATTATAGGGCGGCAAACCTTTTAGGCCCAGGGCGCCAAATTTTAAAATACGCCACTGCCTTTATTGTATAGTTTAGTGTCCGGCTTTTGTTGGATAAACTCTCCCTGTTTGTTTCTATTCCCCGACTCCACGCTGCTCTAGGTACTTTCGTGCTCGTTCACACACAATGCAGGATAAACTTCCAATATCTAAACCTCTTCTCTGTGAAATAAACCGAACTCGGACAACAACAATAACTATCAATTAATAATTAGAATCTTATAAAAATTAGCGGGAAGCGTCGAATGACAGATAACATTGACACGACTAGTGTAAAAACGAAAAGTACGCAATTCTTTCACCTGAAATGCAATGTTGCCAAAGCTTTACGACACTTAGCTAAGCTTGTACTTAAAAACTATGGTGGAACGAAATTATATTTGAGTGTCCCTTAACTTTTAAGTGCTTCATAGTTAAGCAAAGCTTAGTTATAGTTTGGTGGAAATGGCCATTTAATTCAATAAAAAAATTAAAAAAAATCATGAAACGACCTTATTCGATAAGTTCGAACACGAGATTATTGCGATGGGAGAAATTGATTTAACCGATATTTGCTAGAAATCTTTTACAAATTTTGAAAGGAAACAAGAAAGTTTCTAGATTTCCACAATTTGAAATAAAAAATATGAAATTGTGAATATTGTTGTTTCTTCTAAAAATTTGTTGAGTTGAAATGAGTTTGACGATCAATGAAATAAAACTACATGTGCGTGCCAAGTTAAGGCCACCAGATGGAGAATCAGAGACAAAATATTACAATGAGAGAATTCAATTATGAGATACTTAGTTGATATTTTTGAATACCTAGGAGCAACACTAACCGCGGAGCTTTGGAAAAAATCAAGACTGGAAACTTTAGTGGGAACAAAGCCTTCCAAAGCAACACAAAAATCCAAATTTCTGTTTTATGAAGTAACAATTAGAATTAGTCCAATTATTATTATGTACGAAAGTGAAATATGGACCCTCATATCAGCTCATGTGCTTTAAATGGAAGATCTCAAGGAATAATCCCTTAGTAGATCTAGATACGCAGAGATATCGTAAGTAGAAATAAGGAACAACGCGATTCTATTGTGATATTTTTCACGAAATAAAGTTAGTTGCGTTAGGCTGGGCACATACAAAAGCAGCTCGATGAACGATGGGTTGAGCTAGAGGGCAAAAAAACTCGGTAACAAAAAGGCAACCAAGAAGACCGCTTCAAAGATAGCGCGATAACACCAGAAGCGATGTTGACGCGATGGGCTGTGAGATGGATTCGTAACTTACGGTGACCGTGAAGAATGAAGGCAAATAGTGCAATCATCCAAAGCCCACCAAGAAATGTGGAGCTACGAGGTAAGTGAGTATGTTTAAAGAAAATTAAGGAACAAAAACAGTAGATACTGATCTTATTTAATGTAAAATTTGACTCGAATTATTATTCTCAGATAATTTTCAAGTTTTAAAATAATCACGTGTTGTGGATTTTTTTCCGATCGAGATTTAATTACATTTTTTTATTGCAATAATAAGATGTGTTTAAAATTCAATCCAAAATAACAATTTTCTTTTTATTTTTTAGGGCGTTATCATTCATGTTTGCATATAAATCTTTCCCAATTCTTGCCCTATTTTCAGCAACCTGTTTCAGTCTAATCCATAATTCAGAATATGGTATTAGTTCCAAGCTTCATCTTTAGTCAGTTCAGATGGGTGGCTATTGATGCTAGGTACGTCCAGGAATCGAGTTCTCGAGCGTTTTTCTTTTTGACGGAGCGTCTCATGTTAAGCATTCTACATGGGCCTTTGAGTCTTAGTCTGTGTGTCGGCATTGTTCTTTGTGTCAAAATATAACTGGTAACCATAAATAATTATGGGTGATTCCTACACGGCTACAAGTGGGTGCTATAATCTCATTCTCATGGAATGTGAAATTTTCTGATTCCTTATGATCGATGAGATGAATGCTTCGTAAGTCCTGCCAATGCTAGCTGTATTTTCCGTGGGATTTCTGCTGTTTGGTTGTTTCTATCAAGATCTGATTCTCTCAAAAGTGAGATTTTCAGTGAAGAATCTCCTTTTTTTCTTCGGCGTTAGGTATTTTTCACTTTTGTTTTTGCCATATTCATCTCCAGGCAAAATTACTGCCAATTGCAGTTTGTAAGAAATTAAAAATCGTTTTAAACTCAGAGCGCATTTTCTCTTTTTTTTTAACCCTAGTTAGAAAGAGATAGAATGATGTCGGATCATATAACCGAATCTGCCGATAAAATGGGATTTAGATTGACACTCGTGGGTAATGTTGCCAATAGTTGCCTTCTACAAATCTTTGGTTATTGATTTTAAATTTTGAGGTTTGTTGTCAGTTTCTAACGAGTCGGGGATTGATAGGGATATAATTTAAGTATACTTTCTATAAAATTATATTAGTGGAATTTCGTTTTTTCGGTAGGTATTAGTGATTCTTATCAATTTATTAATAAAAATGTAACCTGGAAAAATGACAAACTTTACTAGTCAAAGTCACGTCAAAGTAAAACGAAGTTGATGCGGCAACATTGCGACATGCTAACGTCATAAATTTTGATCCCCTACATATTGTTTGCCCAGCGGTTCTGAGTCTACGGAAGGAATTCGGACGTAAATGTGGGATGTTGCCACGTTTAATTATGAAAAAGCGAAAATACTAGGCATGAAGTATAGTTCATTTGAAAATCCATTTTTTAATAACTAAATATAGATACCAAATATATCGCTAAATTTTTCAACATGGTTCTTAGATCTATTCTAATCTTAATAACTGATTTCTTAAATTTTGTCCATTGTGAAAAATAAACATTGTCTAAAGATACCATCAGCTTTTGACAATTTGGCAAGCATCCGGCCTGCATGAACCTGATTGGTGGAGTTTTTGGCAGGATGGCCGTTGCCACGGGGAACCATGCGGTTGTCAATGAGCTAATGTCACCTTACGTCTCGCTATTGGCCAGGGCTTCCGTCATTTTATCCTCCCATTTTGGAATATCGATTTATATTGAAATATCCAGTGGCGGTGGTTTGGTCATTGTCGATTTTCGTGTACGAGTTACAATACGATAACACTTCCAAAAAGTTCCGCACGCAGCTGGGTATTTTATGAATGAAATCAGCCATTTTTTTTTACAACTGCATTCCCCTTACCGTTCCCCCGTAGACACAGAGTCGCTGGGCTCATATTACATTGTTTTATTAATTTCCCTATGAGGAAAACCACCTATTTAAAATATTATTTCTTCAAATCAAAAAACGTTTATTGAATAAAAGTAAATATTGCAACCATGTACTGCGCCACGAAGGAAGAACGAGAGTACCGGACCGAACGGAAGGTAGAGAAGAAGCGATTAGGCATTAGACTGGAGATCAAGCTGGGACTGGTCCCTTGGACGCGTGTCGCGTGTCTGTAATTATTCATTATTCAATTTTTATTTTTATTTTGCATTAAATTGATTGTTCAATCCAATTTGTTATTAGTGTGTGTGTCCAGGAGAGATCACAGGACAGCTGAATAATTGTTATTTTGTTTTTGAGAGTTCAATTATTTATACAAATATCATTTTTTTTATAACATGTGCATTGTTCATGTATTTAAAAAAAATCGTTTCATGCTGTAAGCAACACAGATGAAGAGTAAATTAAATCCTAAGAAATTAAGTGCTATCTTTTTGTGCTGGAATTTTGATTTTTGTGGATTTAGAGCGTGTATTATGGCCTTGTTGAATTTACTAATATTTTCCTATCCTGACGAGAGAATATCCTAACAAATTGAAATAATCAATCTAGAGATATTGGCTCAAAAACAACTATAGCTGAGTAGCTTCCCGTATGGGACCTCAGTACCTGGTAGGAAACTGGCTAACTAACAAAAAAACTCTTCAGTATTAAATATAGGTAGTGTTGATTGAATGTAGTGTGTGAAATTGGAATTTTAGCACAAGAACAGGGGCGGTACCTAATTTAAACTTTCATTGACTTAAATTATTGAATTAATAAGTCACAATTATTATTAAAATGACACAGTATGTTTCGATTTTTGAGGAATGTTAGATCGAGGGTTTCTCTGCCGTGCTCTTTTCCCTCGTTAGTACCAGGACGAGAACGGTACGATTTACTTTAATAATAAAGTGAACGTTTCACAAATTTTTTGTTTCTTTTATATATCACCACTTCCCTCAAATTTCCCATATATTTGCTATGTCGGGCGCATGTCCAGTAAGTAAAATTGAGTAAGTTTCTACAACGTAGGTCCTATTTGTTTTTCATTTCATTTTTCAAAAGATTCGTTATTCAAAGGTAATAAAAATTCTCATCCTTCAATCTTACTGAACTAACCTGGGTATGTTATACTAATATCTGCCCAGCGACTCTATGTCTACGGGGCAACGGTAAGGGGAATGCAGTTGTAAAAAAAATGGCTGATTTCATTCATAAAATACCCAGCTGCGTGCGGAACTTTTTGGAAGTGTTATCGTATTGCAACTCGTACACGAAAATCGACAATGACCAAACCGCCGCCACTGGATATTTCAATATAAATCGATATTCCAAGATGGGAGGATAAAATAACAAGAGCCCTGCCAATAGCGAGACGTAAGGTGATGTTAGTCCACTGACAACCGCATGGTTCCCCGTGGCAATGGCGATCCTGCCAAAAACTCGACGAATCAGGTTCGTCCAGGCCAGATCCTTGCTAAATTGTCAAAAGCTGATGGATTCTTTAGGAAATGTTTATTTTTTACAATAGACAAAATTGAAGAAATCAGCTATTAAAATAAGCATAGATCTAACAACCATGTTGAAATATTTAGCGTTTTATTGTTATCTACATTTTGTTATTAAAAAATGGATTTTCAAATGAACTATACTTCATGCCTAGAATTTTCGCTTTTTTATAATTAAACGTGACAACATCGTACATTTACGTCCAAATTCCTTCCGTAGACTCAGAACCGCTGGGCAAACAATACACCTATAATTCTATTTCTCTTTAGACATACATATATGTTAAAAATAATCTCTTTCAGATTTGAAAAAGGATAGTCTCCTTCTTTCAGCATTTTTTCCACTCGACCTTTTTCTGGTGAATTGTTGTCTCTCAGATCGTTAATTACCTCCTCAATCCAAAACTCCTCGATATCCGGTATATCTTCACAACTGACGTTTTATATTTTCCGCTAGTTATTGATTTGTTTCTTCACATCAAGACGTTGCTTGGAACTGAATTGGTTTCGAGAGAAGCTTTTCGCAGTATGTTTTGATATCCGGGATGTTCTAGTAGGTTTTGTCGTGTTCTTGAGTTCAGATCGATGTAGTTCTTCGCTTTATTTTAGAGGGTCCTATTAAGTTTATTCTTCTTCAAGTTCTATAATGTTTTCGTCTTTGCCATGGATCTGATATTATAACTTGCTATGTAAAATTTACTTTCACTTACTTCACCATTATACAATTGAACATTGAAATACCAAACTGGGACGGAAACAAAACCCCCGATCAAGAATTGGAGTTTTTGATACAACAAACATGCTTTTCAAATTCGAAACTTAAAAATGTAATATTTATATTTGAAATTTAGAGGGGATAAAATATAACATTCGCGAATGCGATGATGCACATATCGCTCTCAAACAAAACAGAAATTATTATTCTCACTTCCAGAAATTTCATACCTGTTGATTATTGTTAGTCCCTGCAAGATTCCGTTGATTTTCCAAAGCGATTAGTTTTTGTCGTTTTTCCTCCATCAAACGATCTCTATGCTGGTGAATGTAGTCTGTGACATTTGGCAGGCCATCGATGACGCAAGCTGACAAAGCTGATCGGTATATATTCATGTCCGTAGCCTCATACCATTCGTTGGTTCTTTCTTCGTAACATTCCACATGATAAATAGTAGTTACACCTGTTGATATATCTAAATTTAAGGTTTTACTGCAACTCTGTGTGGCATTTTTTTCAAAATTTTCTTGTCGGTAGGGGGATTGGCTCTGACCGAAATATAGGTAAACATAAATATTTACTCAAGCATTAAAAGTACCTCATTTTGCGCTTAGTATTAAGTAATAGGTACTCACCATTAAAACCACCAATCGCAAAAATCATATCGTCAATCACCTCAATAGCAAAATTACTTCTTGGATTGTACATATCCGGTATTGGCAGCCAGGCATTGCTTTCGGGATTGTACTTTTCTCCGCTGCACATTCTATGTAAGTATCGATTTAAGAAAAAACTGTGGAGAATCATTTTCACTTGATTTTTACCTGGATATCCCATTAAATCCTCCAACGACATACACTTGTTCATGGTACGCGATACAGGACACCCCAGATCTTCTGGATCGCATTGGCGCAATCATAGTCCATTGATTCAGTTCTGGATCGTAGGTTTCGGCTGATTGCATACACTCTTGACCATTAAATCCACCAGTAATGAAGATCTTACCTATGTGTGGCGTAATTAATTGATAATTATCCAAGATTGAAGAAGTTAGATTTACCATTCAAGGTACAAGCGCTGGCATCTGACCTCTGCATATTCATCGGAGTAATCAGCGTCCATTGATTCGACGCATAATCATACTTTTCCACTGTATTTTGTCTATGATGTCCATCGTACCCACCCATCGCATAAATTTGATCATCTAACACAGCAGTACTTACATAACACCTTCTTGAATGCATTGGAGCTATTTCTCTCCAGATTTTGGTGACAGCATCGAAGCATCTACAGGAGTTGAAGTAGTCCAATCCTATATTTTAAAAAATAAGTTATAAGTACTTCGAAATACTTTAAACAAATCGTACCATTAAAACCACCAACAACAAAAATACGAAACCCTACAACGGCAGTGCCATGATACGCTCTGGGGCCTTCAGGGTCCACTTCGCTGAGTTTAATCCATCTATCTGCTCTGGTATCGTAGGTTTCGATGAAATTCGTCGGAGTGCCTCCGCTCCAGCCTCCGATCGCAAACAGAATTTCGTGGGGAACTCTGGGTCTGGCGATTTCTGGAGTGACCACTTCTCCATCCCTAGGTAGAGCAAATTAATAAGAACTTCGAACCATCACTTGGTATTAGACTAAAAGTCGCTGTTGAACTCAATCAATTTTTTGTTTTTTTTGTCAGATCTATTTCAAATAATCGAAAGCTTATCTCATCTGGTCTTTGCATCCAGAAGTTCAACTTCCACGGCACAAAAATACCCAAAAATTATTGAGAAAGGAATTTTGACGATACTTTTTGAAGCTTAGAAATTCCATCTTTCTAGGGTTAGTACATTAGAAGAGTTTTCACTGATCGCAAACTATTGAAACAATGTTTCGAATCAGTATCAAAAAGAATCTAACAAATGCGTTAGATGTTACTAAATTTAAAATTACCGTTCAAATGGTCAAATAAAATCCGGAAAACATAATAGGTAGTATTTTATGTACATACACTATCAATCTGAGCAGCAATAAACCAAACAAGTATGATACAGAAACAAAATATTCTGCAAATAGTAGTAAGAAATGTATCGATGTCAGATAAAAAGAAAACTAAGGTCAGATTGAATTTAACAATTAAATATTAGATGGTAGTGCAAAAATGTTTACCTATGGCTTATCATCTCCAGATCATACAGAAATGTCAATGTTTGAATAATCATAGGTCTGCTAGCATCACAACTGGTAACATAAGGATGATCCTTGACCTTTTCTAAAAAAAATTGTGTTTCCAGAAGACCCAAACGGATACATTTCATCAATTCCACAATATAGGCTTTCCTGTCGTCCCTTGCATAATCTATCCACCTTTAAATTTTAGAAAAAAAAAAAAAATCCTAAATCCATTTTCATTCAACTTACCTTATTACTGCATGCCAAACAGTTTCTTCCGTCTTGACATTCAAATCGTCAGCATTTAAAATTGCCTGTAGTTGCTGAAGTGATAAATCCAATATTTCATCACTCTCGATTGAAATCCTAACAAAGTGCTTCATAATATATCTCCAGCAACATTGTTCTAACTCGTGACAAAAATAATTTCTGGCTAAAAACATAATGCCGATGCAATTTGTGGGATTCAAGATAGATTGTAAATATTTGCAGCATAAATCCAGAGCCCCTAAAATGCTAAGATAATCGGCTGCTATGAGGGTGGGATAGACATTATTTATGTCCAGATCTAATTTTCGTAGATAAACGTAGAGTAGAAGAGTGTGGAGTAAGTGAGAAGCAACTCCTGGTACTTTGGCACGATACTTTTCTTTGTTGTGCAAAGGTGTCATGAAAAGAGCCCTGAAAACAACGATGGAGATTCACAGTTGTTGAATTTCAATCTTACCTAAAGTATGCACTGCAAGAACATAAAATAGCCCTATGCACAGGAATTTCCGAGCCATCGTCGAGTATAAGGACGGCATCGCATAGCTGGTTGCTTTCTTTGAGCTCAAAAAGTGCCTGCATTGCCTCAATACTCATGCATCTACCAGAAGCTTGTTGCATAGGTTCGATTTTAGCTGAAGTCGACTCTCCCATTTCATTGTTAGGAAGAGTTTATAAAAGATTTTGCACATAAACACAAATTCACGGAAAATTTTTGGTAGTAGGTATTTAGTTTGAAAATCGAAAGGATGTGTGAAATCGAAATGTCAATGTTTGTCACATTTTTATCATAATAATTGCTATTTCAGGTGTTCCACCTGGTGCGGAGAGGGCGATTTTATTTATTTTTTTCTATTTTACTAATATGATAGAGCCTTATGGTTTTGTCGGATGTGTATTTGAGATGCATTACACGCATCGAAAAACTTACGTCATTACACGCGTATGGCCAAATCGACCGCATGGCGAATGTTTATATGAATTATTTAGCTTTTTTCGCGGAAACGATCCCAAACGTATCCTGAACGCTAAGGCATGACCTACGCAGGTTTACTAATGAATAGAGACACGAAACTTTCAAATAATACCTGCGTAGGTTATGCCTTAGCGTTCAGGATACGTTTGGGATCGTCTCTGCGTAAATAGTGTAGAAGCACTATAATTCCTAGAATTCATAATAATATCAAAGGGAATTATATTATGCAGTTCAGTTTGTCGACAGCCAAAGGTACTCCTAATATCAGAAAATACCAATTTTGAACACAAATATTCTAGATACCCAGGTTCACGCGTTCACGCGCCTGGTCAAAAGCACCGACTATGAAAACAACGAACTATACTTCAACAAAAAACCAAAAAATTTTTTTGCCAATGGGTAGTTGAAAACCTGCATCAGGCATTCTTGGATGGACAAAACTGCCACCCTTGTACCAGTGGCGTAATTACTGATTTTATCAATGCTCGACCCTTTTGACCGACACGCATGTACTCCCGGGTTAATAAGTATAAAGATTTTTATGATTTACTTGTAGACTGTAGATTGTGGGGGGAGTCGTTTCGGCTTTCCAGCCGCTCAGCACTGCTACTTATGCAGATTTTTTTTACGTCACTCTACATCTTAAATTGTCTCCAGGAAGCGTAGACTTCTGCAAAAGGAAGCTATTTTTCTAGGTGTCAGTTGGCCTACTTCTTCTGGTGACAGTGTTGCCCCCTCGAGGAATTTGAGCCTCTTGCAGAATTAGGCTGGACATTCGCAGAGCAGGTGCTTTGCGGTCTTTATTGCGTCTAAGCAGAATCTGCAGAGATCGTCTTCTGCTTTGCCCATCAACCTTGAATGATATTTCACCAGGCAGTGTCCTGTGAACAGTCCTACGACCATTCTAATGTCTGGTCTGCTCATGTTTAGAAGCTGTTCAGCTCTTTTTGCTGAAAAGGTGATAAACCTTTTTGACTGTCTTAGTCCCGGAGTGTGCCTCCAATATGATGACAGTTGGTCTTTCTCCCATTTATTGAGTTCTTCCATGATATGGCTTTTCATTAAGCCCCAATAGGGCTCTGGTACATGGTATGGTGTTGAGTCCCTAGGTTGAGGTCCCGTCTTTTGCGAGGCCATCTGCTTCTTCGTTTCCTTCTATGCCTCGATGTCCAGGCAGCCACATCAGCGATACCTGGTTGTGTGTCGCTAGTGTTTTTAGGGTTTGTTCACACTCCCAGACTAGTTTTGAGGTGCATTCGAAAGCCCTCAAGGGTTTTAAGGCAGCTTCGTTATCTGATAATATAAGGATGTGTTTGAGACTTGATTAAGACATTCTTGTGCACATATGTTTATGGCAAGCAGTTCGGCTTGAAATATTGTAAGATGTTTGCCCTATGGCTTGGAGAGCTTAAAGTTAGGGCCGGAAACGACAAGTCCAGCTCCTTCCGTTAGTTTGTATTCATCTGTGTATCACAGAGGTGCATTGTCTGCTTGTGGCAATTCTTTATCCTCCCATGATTGGCGCTCGTTTATTACCACTGCGAATGGGATCTCGAAGTCCAATTTGACCACCATGTGGTCGCTTGGTTTGCTGGCATTCTCCAGTTTTATAATTTGGAGAATGCGCAGATGTCCCCTCAGATCAACAGGCTTGAACTTGTCTCTTTGGAAAAGCCTGGTGAGCGCTTATTATTGCCTCCTTTTTCACACATAGGTGAAGTGGAGACATGTTACGCAGAGTCTCTAGGGTTGCGGTGGGGCAGGTCGACATTGCTCCCGTTATTCCTAGGTATATCAACGTTTGTACAGGATTATTGGTTATAAATGTCACCCCCTCTATCTTTTTTATTTGACATTTTAGAAAAAAGTGTCCCAAATAAAAAATTTATGGTTGAAATTAAATTTTTTGAAAAACTCACAGAGTGTTTTAAAAAAGCTGGTAGTGCTCCAACTTTCTTATTTTAAATTGAATACCCTGTATATTATTCAATATTCGGATTCTACGTAAAATTCTATACCTAAGTTCAACTGTTTTGGAAATATTGACAGTTGAAAATTGACTTTTTTGCAAATTTGACAGGCTGTAAAACTTAAACGGTTAACTTTTGAGCAAAACCGTCTTACATTTTTTTCTAATATTTTCACAAGCTATCATTTGATACCAACTTTGAATTTAAGCGAAGATTAAATTAAATTGGAATTTTCATCATGGATTAAATTCAAAGTTGATGTCAAATATTGGTGTCAACTGCTAGTTTATAAAAATATAAGATAAGAATGTAAGATCGGTTTTGCTCTAAAATTAACCGTTTAGGATTTACAGCCTGTCAAAGTTGCAAAAAAGTCAATTTTCAAGTGTCAATATTTCCAAAACAGTTGAACTTAGGTATAGGGTATATCACATGAAATATGCTCAGAATTTTATGTAGAATCCGAATATTGAATAATATACAGGGTATTCAATTTGAAATAGGAAATTTGGAGCACTACCAGCTTTTTTGAAACACCATGTATATGCAAAAGTGAGTTTTTCAAAAAATTTAATTTCAACCATAAATTTTTTATTTGGGACACTTTTTTCTAAAATGTCAAATAAAAAAGATAGAGGGGGGTGACATTTATAACCACTAACCCTGTACCTTGTTTAGCTTGATCTCAGTGGTGACTTGCTGAGTTTTGGGCCACCATACCAATGAGGCGTATGTGACCATGCCCAGCAAACATCGTTATATTACCATTACACAAATGTTATATATTTTCCTAACTTTGTCTGTAACAAGTAATATCACCAGTGCATAACAAATCTGTAATGGTTCGGTTTCCATTTCCCACTCAACGTTACTTAGACGCAATGGAATAGTTATATAACAAAGTAATATAACATAAGTTTATAACCTCAATGTTACACAGATTCTTGTTACATGTAATATACCTAACACGGACGAAATTATATTGTAACGTCTTTGCTAAATGTTGATAAGGCGTTATATAATGATTCTGTCACAAGTTATATTTCATTAATATAACGTAAGCAATAAAATGTTATAATAATGTTTTTTACGAGCAGCCTAAATTATAGTTATTCTGATCATTACTACTTATCGGCCTTATAACGTTAATAACTAAATAATTTTTCTTTATTTCTGTGGAAACATTATCCGGATTTTTTTTCGAGCACAATCCAGTGGCGTACTCAGTTTTTTTGTTGAGATATCGACCAAAGACCGATTTTTTTTTTTTAATAGGATACCCTATACAGGGTGTCCCAGGGAAAACAGTCCACCCCGATTTATTGGGTTTGGGGTGAGAATCTGGGAAAACGCTCGGACACATCGATGTTTGATTTGAGGGGGAACTATTTTTCAGTTTTTTTCATCTCCGTAGCTTCAACCCCCTAGCTAGGGGAACAACAACCCCCCAAATTTGAATAGGGAATAGGGGTCGTGTCATACCTCGTTTTAAAGGCCTCATCAAGCTCTTTATGGCCCTAGAATTTCATCTTATTATTTTCATCCGTTACGAAATGACAGCTTGTCAAAATCTTGGAAATGGTCTATGTATTAGTAGGAGTAAAAGCGGTACTTACCTCCCTTAATAAAAATACGAGTGAAAATACCTACAATTTACAATTCTCGTGTACACCTCATTAATAATAATAAGAAAAAACTTCATTTCAAGTATTTTTATTAGGGGACGTAGGTATCGCTTTTGCTCCCACTAAAACTAATAGTCTATTTCCAATATTTTGACAAGCTGTCATTTCGTTACGGATAGAAATAATGAGACGAAATTCTAGGGGCATAAAGAACTCGATGAGACCTTTAAAAAGAGATATGACATGACCCCTATCCCCTATTCAAATTTGGGGGGTTGTTCTCCCCCTAGCTAGGGGGTTGAAGCTACGGGGATGAAAAAAACTGAAAAGTAGTTCCCCCTCAAATCAAAAATCGACGTGTCCGAGCGTTTTCCCAGATTCTCATCCCAAACCCAATAAATCGGGGTGGACTGTTTTCCCTGGGACACCCTGTATAATGTTAGCTCATTGGATAGCTCTGCATTCGCTGATTTCAATGATATAAAGCTCGATCGGTATATCTTCAACAGTTTTCGATAAAAAAAAAAATTATATCTGTTTGTCATAAGAAACAATGTGTCAGAATGGTCACCCTAGAATTTGGGAGACCTTGTACAGGGTGGTCAGAAAATAGAAAAATATACAGGGTTTTTTGGTAAAAGTAGAAAAAAAAATGGTACGTCACTATTTTTTTAAACCTTCGATAATTTTTTCAGATTGAGGAAGTCATATAACAGTCAAAAGATACCTTTCCTTATCACAAACAAACCTGCCAAATTTGAAAAAAAAATAAAAAATTGTAAAAGGAATTTTTAAGCTAAAAACGATTTCCGGACACATATTTATGGGAACCTCTTTTTCTTAAAATATTGTAAGGAATCGCATCCTGAAGGATCCGTATTTGGAAAACCCTGTATATTTTTCTATTTTTTGACCACCTTGTACATGCTATTTCAAGTTTTAATAGTTTATTATTATTTTTTCAAGAAGCAGAAACTTTTATAAAGAATAACTTTTTTTCGTAAAATTGATAATAAAAAAGTTTCCCATATGGTACGAACTTAAAGGGGGGTGTGACCCTAAAAAACGACTTAAGCTACTTGATTCAAGAAAAAAAAATCTAAGATTTCTCGTGAAAACTGCAGTCCTATATTCAAAATAGTCTCCGAGAAAATTGCTTGTGAAGATAAACTATGCAGGAACTTGTGA